ACTACGTTTACATTTTTGAAACTTTTTTGTATTATAATATAAAAATCATTTAATATTTTTAAATTAAGACACGAAATTTTATAGGTTTTAGATATGATTGTTGCTCTTCTAAATGATTGATGTGAAAAGTTTCACTAGCATGCCTCTAAAAAACTAAAAGAAAATATGCCATTTTGTTCATCATTACCAATCATTATAACGTATTATATATGTATAGGCTTGAATAATCTGTCTGCTTCGGCTGACCGAAGTACGGAAAATTGTTTTTTAACTTTCTTGAAATAGTTATTAACTAGCTTCTATTCCTGAAAATATAGAAGATATAACTATGTATATCTGAATAATTATGTAAATATTTTGAAGAAGCTTAACCTAATTTTTTAGACTTGCATTAGCATATTTGGAATTTCAGGTACATTAAAAATCTTATGAATTATCTAGGCAATGAACGAAAACATTTTAAACCGTCTACAAGCTAAATTGAACATAATCGAAACGTTTTGAATATTACCAAATCAAATCGAATCTTAAGAACCGCGCACACGGTAAAATATAAAAGACGATTTTTTTTATTCTGGTTGAACTTGTTTGCTCTAATTGCTTTTAACTAATGTCTTTGTTTATTAAATTTCGAGTTCTGAAATGCTATAATCTATTCTTTCTAATGCTTCATCGTTGTACTTATTCGATAAATAAAATATTTCTATCGATAAACAGAACTTCAAAAACAATTCACCAATTTGCTCAATACTGAACTCTAATTAAAATTTAGTGCAGCAGCTTATGCGTTCCAAGGGCACATCGTAAGGTTGTACAATTATTTATATAATATTTATCGATATACATAGTTACTTAAGTATATCAACCGCTTCTTCACATTTATACGCAAATAGGAGTTTTTCTTGGCACTATGAATAAAGTTTAGAAATTCTAAACATAGGCATGTGTATAACTGTTGATAGAGCATGTCGGCTTATAGCCAGCTTGAAACCGAAATTATGCAATGCTAATACATCTTCTGTGGAATCGGGGATAGACTGGTGTTTCAAAACAAGTTTCTCAGTGGACAATGCTTAAAAGCATCGCTGAGACGTTTTCTTAATTTCGCTGAAAGTACAAAAATGAAAAGAAATTAATTTTTATTGAAAAATTGTTACAAGTTCGTCAAATTGGCTACGAAAAGAAAAATAATAAATTAAAAGAATATATCACATAAGATAAAGAAAAATGTTACAAAATGAAAGAGTTTTTGTGGACAGTTTTTGATAGTTTTTTGTTCAGCCTAGAACACACAAGACACAATAATGAGAAATTGTCTCAACCTTTTTTTTTTTCATTTGCTTAAATTTTTTTTTTTTTTTTTTTTTTTTTTTTTTTTTGCGTCCGTATTGCTTACATTAATTTTGTATTTGGGAGATACCTACCGAGCGGTGGTGCTGACTTTAAATGAGTATTAAGAGTGCAACGGAAATTAAGAGAAAAACGTTGGTACTCACGTTTTTAAAGTGGCATCTCGTTTCAAAGATTTTTAAAGACACAACTCACCTTCTACCTTTGACTTAGTGTACAACAAATATATCTGAGTGTCAGCTCAGAATGTATGGAGATGCAGATGCAGAGATGCATGGTATACGAGTATGTGCTTAATACTTAGTAGAAAACGCAGCACATTCCATTAGACAACGTTTTTAGGGATTAGGTATACTTAGCGTTTATAATAGTTAAGATAGACAATAGACAGTAGCACCTGCGTTTTTTTCAATTAAAAAAGGAACAGGAAATTATAGGGAGTAAAAGGAGGTACAGGGATAGAGAGACAGAGACAGATAAAGAAAGAGAGAGATGGGCACGAACAGATACACATATAAGGAATTTAAGGTAAATGGAGAAACATTTAGACTAACATTCATGCCAAATCAAGAAGGCTAAACGTAGACAGAGAGAGAGAGAGAGAGAGAGAGAGAATATAAGAGATATAGTGTACTTGGTTTGTTGGGACGAGAGAGAAACTCAGAGAAAACGAGTTCGAGATTATTTGCCCAGACGTACACAAAAAA